AATAATCTCTTGTAACACCAAGGACATTGTATGTCACTTTTACTTCCATCATTTTATTTTATACGATTAATAGGGTGGGTGAATTGGTAGATGATGTGGTGGTGAATTGACTTAAAGATACTTGACGTTTTGATTGGTATTTTGCCGGTGAATTGATTTAAGATGCTTGATGGTGAACGAAGAAAGAGAATGGACGGTGATTGTGTCACTTATATTTTTTACTTCCATCACTTTATTAAACTGGTTTCAATATTTTAATTGGTGTTATATCGCTTTTTTGAATCCTCTTGATTGTACCTAATATTAACGTTGACAATGACTACAGCACACTATTCGTTGAAATATTCAAGGTAAAATAGAATTCTTTGTGAAAACGGGCACGCCTAGACTTTCCAAGACAATCTAAAAGCATTGGTTTGTCACCTGTTTTTGTCACTGTTTCGAAATTTTTATCACTTTTTTTATTGTTCATTGCTTTTTTCAATTTCTATAACTTTTTTGAGTGACAAACATAAATTTTGATTGATACTCTCTTTTCAAAAAAAAAAAAAATTGTCACTTTTAGAGTGTTTGTCACATTCTTGAATTGTGTTTGTCACTTTTTTTTTTGCTGTCACCATTTTTTGAAAATTGTCATTTTTTTGTCAATTTTTATTGTTTGCTATTTTTTAAAAAAAATTCTACCAATTTTTTGAGTGAAAAACATAGGTTTTCATTGGTGTTTTATCACTTTTTTATGTGTTTATTACTTTTTTTAAGTGTTTGTCACTTTTTGAAATATTGTTTGTCATTTTTTTTATTCTATCACTTTTTTATTATTTGTTACTTTTTAAAAAGTTTACGTCACTTGTTTGAGTGATAAACATATGTTTTGATTGGTGCTTTGTCATTTTTTAATATTTATCACTTTTTTTAATTTTTGATCACTTTTTTGAATGTTTTTTACTTTTTTTGAAATTTCTGTTACTTTTTTATTGTTTGTTACATTTTTCTAAATTTTTGTAACTTTTTTGAGTGACAAACATGACTCTTAATAAAAATGATATTGTATATCACTTTTTAATAAAAGTATGATATTTAATTTTATACTGTACTATGAGGTTTGAATTCTTTTCATATTTAAACTTTGAAAATATAAATACAAATATTAATGAGAAAAGCAATATTCGTTGTCACTTCTTTTAAAAAGGTCGCAATTTATCTCATTTGAATTTTTTGAATTAATTAAATAGATGTATACGTGTGTTTTATATAAAACATTAAGAATTTTACACTATTACTTTCTTGTAATTTTCATTACTTTTTTGAGTGGCAAAATCACTTTTTAGTAAAAGTGACAC